TTTTTTAGTGTTAAAACAGCAGATCTAGGAACTAGTTATGTTAAAGAGGATCGAGAAAAATACATGAAAACGGCGATCCAAATCAAATTGAAATAGAATGAATTTCGAGAATTCGTTAGCAACAGATCACTCAGTAATAGGGGTGGACAAAATGATCAAGCCAAATCGAACGATTTGATTCTATTTTACAAAAAAAAAAATGGTTTTTAGTTCTTAGAACCAAGAACCATTTGGTTCTGGTTCCAATTCTAGAACAAAGAACTAGACCCGATAATCAAATTCAATTATATTCTATATATATTTACAAATTAGTGAATCATACTAAAAAATGAATTTTTTTAGTGTTAAAATAGCGGATCAGGAAACTAGCTATGTTAAAGAGAATCGGAAAAAATACAATAAAACAATGAACCAAAATCAAACCGAAATAGATTGGAATTTCGGGAAAATTTTAGCTACGGATCACTAAGAAATAGGGGTGTGTAAAATGATCAGACCAAATGAGAATCGAGCCAAATAGAACGATTCGATTCTATGAATGATAATAATAATGTTTTTAGTTCTTAGAACCAAGAACCATTTGGTTCTGGTTCCAATTCTAGAACCAGGAACCAGAGCAGATAATCAAATTCAATTTTATTCTATACTAGCGTGCATCGTGCGTTGCACGATAACCGTTAGAATTCGAATCGAACATCAACATTTAAATTACACTATTTAAACTGCCAATATTTAAAATGGTAATAACAAAAAAAAGTGAAGAAAATGAGCTTTCTTACAAATAATATGTCAAAACATACTACAATGTTAACATTTGAAATTTGCTTAAAGTAATATGGATGAATCTAATAATAGTTATAGACAAAATATAGCCATCGTCAAACAAATCACACTTGTGGGGATGAACCAATGAGATATGCTGGGCCCCGTTGAATTTGGCTCTTTTTGTACAGCTTTTATATAAAAAATATTGTCATCTTCTATTGCTGTACGTATGAAGTCGATAATGTTTGTGTCAACAGCCTGTTGAAGAAAAGTACCGGTAAGCGTAATAATGTAAAGTACCATAGTTGAAATATTCGAGTACAGACTATCAATTTGTAACAATGGAATGTTTTAAATTGGGTCCATAAAATGGGATTGGTGAAGCATAGAATCGATAGATTATGCATATGAATGATTTATTCTAAATGACAAATAAAGATAAATGTGAACAAATGCAATAGATGAATGTAATACTTCAACTATTTTGAGTACCTCTGAACAGTAATGATGAATCCAGAAAGAATCAACTAGTTGCCTTTATGCACGATTTGCATAAGATTACAAGTAACATTGCTCTGCTATCAGCAAATAGGCCGTCTATAACATGTAATACTAAAGACCACAGTACTTCGAGAATTTGAACGAACACTTCATCTGTCTTTNACCCCATTACACCTGAAATTATCTTCCATCAAGTATCACAAAATAGTAACTAGTTCAAGAATTAGAATATTCTATTTCTTTTTCCCCTACGTAGTGACTTTTATTATAGTTTCGTTGGCATTTGGTTGTATTTAACTCTGAAGTGTAATGACGTATTAAGCATCAATCAAATTTTAATGAAAATTAAACCACTTTTTGTTTATTTTAAATTTTAATTACTCATCAATAAATTAAAAAAATTATTACACTGTCCATTAACTAGTTATAAGAAAACAGCGGATCAAAATCAAATTGAAATAGGTTGGAATTTCGGGGAAATTTTTAACAACGGATCACTGAGAAATGGGGGTGGACAAAATGATCACACCAAATGAGAATCGAGTCAAATCGAAGGATTTGATTCTGTTCTGTAAAATAACAATAATGTTTTAGTTCTTAGAACCAAGAACTATTTGGTTCTAGTTCCAATTCTAGAACCACGAACCAAAGCCGATAATCAAATTCAATTTTATTCTATACATATTTACAAATTAGTGAATCAAACTATAAAAATGAGTTTTTTAGTGTTAAAACAGCAGATC